TACACACACATTATGTATATATTTATGTATATATGTATGTATATATGTACATACATATATCGTCACAAACAGAACTGCCCGGTAAACCGTAGGCAGAGAGAGAGAAGAGGACAACAAACGAGGGGCTGTGACATACATATATGTATATATACTGCTACACTCGGTTGTAACCGCCATCGTCTCTGTCACAATCACTACAATGACATGGTTTCTGCATCCATGTGTGCACAGGACTGTCCCTCCGTTCCTGACTGCAGGCACCCTCCGCATCCCGACACTATATGTCCATTTTGCGGCCATGGGCCCCATACTGAATGCATGGTCTTTTGTGGTGACCGTTCTTCTTTCATTTTGGCCTGCAATCGACATGCCATTTGTCGGGGGTGTATGGTGGGCATGCTCAATGCCAGCCGTCGTGGCAATTGTTGCACTGAAAATGCTCAGCTAGGTCTTCCATGTGTTTATCCACGTCATCATTACAATGTATGTCCTCTCTGTCGTCAAGGACAGACTCATTCTTGAGCCTCCACACTCCGTACTTTCCCTTACTTTCCCTTTATCGTTCTTTGTTTGTCTGCTCTTCATCTCTCCTCCCTGTGTTTATCCCCTCCCTCTCTCCCTCTTCACTCTGCCTCTTTCTCACAGCGTACCAGTGGACTGTTATGGTACACGGGAATGGGGGCAGCTCGCGCTCAACTTCATCAACGTGGCGATCCTTGTACGTGAGAGGCATGGTGAAGGGGGAGTTAAAAGAAGAATGGGAAAAATGAATGGTTTCAGTGTGCCCTTCATGTTTGTCTTGTTTTTTTTTTTTTTTGGTTTTTGCCGTTTGTTTCACGAAGTGCGCTCTTTTTGTTCATAGTTGCGTGACAATACATGTATGATGAGTCGGTGAAACTCCGACGAAACAATTTGTCACAGCCCCTTGTTTCTTGTCCTCTTCTCCCTTTCTCCCTCTCTGCCTACGGTTTACCAGGCAGCTCTAGAGGTTTGCAACCAGGCTCGTCTTCTTGCTTACTCAGCATGCATGAAAAGTTGAAAACAGATGGCAATCACACTGGCGCCAGGCGCCCACACAAAGCTCAGATATATCGAGGCCAAGAACACACTTCGGATTCAAACTTGCTTCCGATGGCTATGGCACCTGTGCGCCCACACAACACCCAGCTGACACTGTATTCCCAGCAACTGCTCACACGTACGCTACTCTGGATCTCCCTGGATGTCCCACACATACACACACTGGACACAACACTCACACAATTACACACTACAGCCTACCTCTAACCTATGGCAGCTATGGCTGCCTTCTACCCTCCCTACTAACTAGCAGCTATGGCCGCTTCGTCTCCTTCTCAGCCCACTTCTCCCTCGGGCACCTGCAGGACCTCCTTGCATAAGACGCTCAGGCAGCACTTCCGCACGGCTCACAGGCAGAATGAATGAATGACTGGACGCTGCCTCTTGAAGATGGTCGCTGGTCTGCCCCAAACGATGCGCGCACGTGCGCGTGCACCAGGGAGAGAGAGAGAGAGAGAGAGAGAGAGAGAGAGAGAGAGAGAGAGAGAGAGAGAGAGAGAGAGAGAGAGAGA